GAAAATGGGAAATCACGGTATAATGGTTTTGTTAAAAGTATGTAATAAGCAGAAGGAGGCGTGACAGACCCCACAAAGTATATATATTCTTGATCATTCTTGTATGAACGCGTCGATTTCAGAAGATATAAGATCTAAAGACTTGAAATTTTTATACTCATTCACGAAAGTGAATTATTATATTGGTTTTTTGCAATGTCCGTCTGTCCGTCCGTAAAGACTTGAAATTAGGAACACATACTTGTGTATATCTCCGATTTATAAAGTGTTAAAATTTTTCCGATCCGTCCACTAGGGGCGTGGCAATCGGAAAGTGCATTTTCCGATATACCAGAAATCGTATTAGTTGAAGAGCTAGAAAGCTGAAATTTGGAATGTAGATCCGTGTCGATCACCCAAGATCATGAGCTATGGCGGATATATCTACGCTCATTGGGGGCGTGGCAAATCGGATGAAACTGTATCTCCAAGAGTTTTACAGCTAGAACTTGCACGTAAGCTGTTATGATTATATAAAGTCTCATGACAAATTAATATGTCTACGCCCATAAGGGGCGTGGAAAATCGGACCTGAAGATATAGTTATTTTTTAAATTCTACTATATTTTGGATAATATGTATATATGTGCGGATATATGTGCGCCCCAGGAGCAATGACAAACCGCAAAAGTTTGTATCTCCTAAAGTACAATAGCTAGAAGCTTCAAATTTGGATAGTTGAGTTACTAGTAACCTCCCATCGATTACCCAAAAATAATTTTTACGCCTCTTAGCGGCGTGACATATCAAAAAATACACTGTAATTTTCACATTTTTTGAGCGTAAGCGCTCAAATTTTGTAGTTAGGGTACCGTTAGCTCGTTCTAAGAACTGACCAAAAATAAGGTGTCTACGCTCAGTAGGGGCGTGGCAAATCGGGAAAAACTCAATTCTCTACAGTAATAGAGTTAAACTTATCTACTAAACTGCTGATGGGGTGTGAATGAGTATTCCGCAGTCATTAACGCCCGACTGCAACGTTTTTACTTGTTTTTCCTAGGTCCGTGTATATCACGCGCATATCGAGTTTTTCTTTAAATATCGATAACTACTCCCGATATTTTATTATCGATTAAAACCCTTATCGAAAGCTAGTTATTTATTTATATCTCCTATACCTTTAGAGCTAGAGCTTCTACTACGTGCATGTGTATGTATGTGTGTCGAAAAGAAGTGCAAACTGATTAGAATATCAGATTAGAGGGTTCAGGGTATCTCCTAGTCGAGCAGGCTCGACTAGAGTCTTCTTACTTGTTATACATCGATTTTGCTACAAAAAACTAACTACTGCTGGTATTTTGATATGGATTAAATCCATAGCTAGTGTTTCCAAATTTTAAGCTTGTTATAATCCACCCCGCCACCCCTTAATTTGTGTGTTTACGTATACACGTGTGTGTGTATGTGCTGTTTCTTGTATAAACAGAATCATAGAATTATGTAAATAGGTTGAAAGGTTCAGGGGATCTCGTAGTCGATATCGGAACTGAAATATTTACCAATGATTCGAAACAAATTCGATCTGTAGCTGCTATAATGGGATATACAGGGCGACGAGCTGAGTCGATTTGGCCCTGTCCGTCTGTCTGTCTATCCGTCTGTCCGTCCGTCCGTCCGTCCGTCCGTCTGTCCTGTCCATCTGTCCGTATGTTTGAATGTGTCGATTTCCGAAGATATATGATCTAGAGACTTCATTTTTTTATACCCTGAACCCATTTTCAATGGGAAATCAGGGTATAATGGTTTTGTTGAAATGTATGTAACAGGGAGAAGGAGGCGTGG